GGGGGCGGGGAGGGAGGAAATCCAGAAATTAATGAGAATAAATGATCAGGAGTGCGTTGTTGCATTAAGGGGATGAAGTGGGGAAGAGCATACAACCTAAGCATGCGAAGCCGCCATGTTTCCCTTCAAGATTTCCTAATAAATACATAAAAATCCAGGCACAGCGCCTGATAAGCACCGTAGTTCGGAAAGCTCTCCTGAAATACCCACTGTATTTTTTGCTCAGGCATCTTGAAATCCTTTGCTCTCTGCTCGGCTGTAAGGTACGGTCTTGCGGGGCTGTTTTCTTCCATGAAAATCAACTTTTTCCCCCAGCTTTTTTTTCTTGCATTGCTGCAGAATTGCAGGATATTTATATTTTTAGCAGAGGCTGCAACCTTCCGCCCGGTTGCTCGAGGTGCTTTTTCCTCCCCATCTCGCCTAGGGATGAAGCAACCCCCCCGGTTAAAATGCAAGCAGCAGGTTGGGTGCTCGCAAATTAAATAAAATTAAATAGAGAAGAGCGAAGTGAACAAGGAGCTGCCCAGCGATGCCAAGCTCCCAGGGGGACATCCCCGAGCTGGGCTGGGACCCTCTGATGCTCCTTCTTGGTGAATTGGTTATTTTCGGGTGAGTTTATGCATTCTTTTTTCGGGGAGCAAAGCGAAAACACGGCAGCCGTCGAGGCTTTTTCTGCTCCTAAGGCTCAGTGCTCTAAGGCTGAGATTTGCCTTTTTTCCTTCTTGCTGTTTGAATTTACTGCGACTCGATTTGACAAGATCCTCTCTGTAAAAGCGTCTCCCTCTCTGCCGGTGCGTTAGTTTTGTTCGGAGTATTCATCCCACCACCAAACAGATCCCATGATGGAGTTTAGTTCGGGTTTCTGTGTGGACAGTTCAATATTTTTATTTATTCTTCCTTTTACTGGGCGTTTTAAAAGGGATAATTCAAGGGGAGAAAAAAATGCCTGAGTGGCATCCTGTGAAGAAAAGGATAAAAAAGGGGGGATGCGCTGCAATATTTTCATCTATAGGTGAAAGCAGCCACCCCTGTTCGGCAGAGAAATATTTTCCACCTCAGGCAGATGATTTCTAACCCAGGTGAAAACCCGATTAGCGCCCAATTGTTGCAGGCAATTTTGTCCCTTCAAGACTCTTTAAAGGCAGTGGGATAACCCCTCGGAGCCTGGTGCCGCGGAAGTTACGCGTCCTTCAGGTGCACCTTTCCAATGGGTTTGCAGAAGAGATTCCCCCCTCCCCCCGATTTTTTTTTTCCTGCCTAATAATTCTTTGCAAAACTCGCAAAATATCTGGCAGCACTTCGGTATTCCTGTTTTTTCGTATGAAAATGCAGAAGGACAGAGAACGAGGAGGCTCCCGGGGCACGGGATAGAAGACAAATGACTTTAATAAGAATATCTTTTTTAATTCAGCTGGAAGAATAAATGGTGAGAGTATTGCTGAAAGTACATTCATTGATTGACAATAAACAATTGCATTAAATATTCAATATGCCACTCTTACGTAATAAATATTTAACCAAACATTAAAGGAGGTTTTCGAATATTTATTAGACATTGACTTAATTCATTTGTTCTATTCCTTGATATATCACTAATTCGATATTAAAAGTCATTAAGCCAGGCCTGCTTTAACTTTAAAGTTGGAAACTTTACACGATCCCCCGCACACTGTCATTGCTTAAATGGTATATTCTCCATAAAGCATGCCAACTCGCTTGATGTATAGCTGATGTGCACATAGAGATCAACATAATTAGCGTATGTTAGAAGCTTGTTAATTAGCACCAACCCCCTCGCTCCCAGATAGAGAGAGAGATAGAGATTTCCTTACAATTTCGCAGCCCAGCTGCAGGAAGAGCTGGGCATTCCCGCCTGCAGCAAGGTTTTGAGAAATGTTGGAAAACTTACTTCTGCATCTCCAGCTATTTTATTGAGCTACCTAAAGCCTATTCAGGAACACTTCTAAGGATAGAAATAGCCATAATAATAAATTATAATAATCAGCGTAATTAAAATATTAAATAAAGGGTGGAAAAACACCGCTCGAGCTCCCTAAGACCCTCCCTCTCCCCCC